TGCTGCTGTTATCCTTGAGCTGTCAGCCAGCTGCGCTGCTGCTGTGGCCGAGATTGTCTGGCTATTGATAAGACGCATTCCTTGAGCTTTGTGGCGTCGGCAGATAGAGCACACACAGTCCCACAGAGCTGGCACAGCGCCGGCCCCCGCCAACGCCAATGGCTGCCACATGCCGCATATCCATAACTTGCCGCACATGCAGCAATACGAATTTATTGCCCATTGGCAGCTGTTGCTGCCATAGCTGAGATTTGCCAAAAGCTGTTCATTTGGGCCGACCTTCACAGCGAGTCCATTAAAAGCAGGAGTGGGAGTGGGAGCAGGAGTCTAATAGAAGCGGGTGTCTGATCAATTGATAGCCATGCCACATGCCACATGCCACATGCGACATGCGACTTGCGACAACTTTTGCTGTTGCTCTTGCTGCTGCTGCTGCTGCCGTCGCCGCCAGATCGTAAAAATGTTTACTGCTCCCAGCCCCAACTCCAGCCCTCGCTCCCGCCTAATGAACGCCCCCGCTGCAGACCGTAAAAATAACGTGTCCGAACGATTTGAGGACAGACTCGAACATGTTGTACGTGTCATCAGCACATAATCAAGGTCTCGCAGTCAAGCGAACCAAGAAACAACGACAAGACGGACAATGAGCAACTTGTTGCCCGATAGCACAAATACCCTGTAAACTCAATATCAACTTGGATAAGACTTTATCCCGGCAAGACTCAAGTGAAGCATTTCGTATATATACCCCATCATTGACTGCGTACAGGGTATGTGCATATAACAGAAATAACAACTAAGTTTTCACAATTTTATGCGCACAATGTAAAAAAAAAATATATATGTACTTAGATGTCTATGTTGTTGTTGTTGTTGTTGTTGTTGTTGTTGTCGACACATTATATGCTGATAATGCGGATATACACAGAGGGCCGAGCGGCAGCTGCTGCTGCTGGCGGGGTGGGAACGGGGGGGGGGGGGGGGGGGGGGTGGGGGCACAGGAAGAGCTGCTACGGCTGCTTTGCATGCAGAGTGAATGCAGTCTTCGAGACGTTGTCAGCATTGTTGAGTTTCTTTGGAAATTCACACAACACCAACAAATTGCTGTTTCTCGGGAGTTGGAGCTGAAGTTGCAGCTGGTTTATGTGGCGTATGTGTATCAGAGTAGAGAGCCCTCCCTGCCCCCCCACCCCTCGCTTCCTCGACTGCAGCAACTGCAAGTGAAGGTCACCCAAAGCGTCGCGTCCAGCTGGCACTACAGCTTGGGCTGAGCTCGATGTTTCGTTCGGAGCATTCATAAGCCGCTTACGCATTGCATAAGCTGCCCCAGTCGACAGTTCAAACCAAATGCAACGATATGTGACCGGGACTTAACCGTGTTTATGTTTCAGCTCTTGCGGCTGGTGGAAGGGGGGAGGGGGGTGGTTGGAGTTGTGTCTAAGCTTTTAGCTAACTAACTAACTGGAAGATTTCTGGTCTATAGATATAGCATCAAGATCAATAAGACATGCTGCCTCTATAGGGTGAAGTGAATCAATCAATATTATATTCTATTGATTTTACTAGATGTATAACCATATATATATGTATATACCAGATTATCATGGTATTATTATCATACACATAATATGTGATACAGTATAATATGCATATATTGTAAAGATCATTAGATATATATATAGTATATAATATAATAGATGTACATTATATATTACAAATTTTAAAATGTATATCAATTATGTTTCTTATATAAAAACGATGAAATTTACATGTTATATAGGGGCATTTGTGCAAATAATTCCACTTTTGTACCACGAAAACTTCCTGGATTTCCTGTAATTATCTTGAAAACGCACCAGTTATAGGGTAAATCGAGAGCTATAAGCCTCATCAGTAGTCAAAACTATAAGAAACCAAAAGCCGACTTTTCTGTAGAAATATCCATATAAAGTTTCCTTACTATGATAAGAAATCTGACACTTTTCAAAAGATCTTAAAGAACACCATTTTAATAGAGCAAATTGTTTTTGAACTGACTGAAATTTATACATACATATATGAGGGTAATATACATATGTACTATGTGACAATATTGCAATAGATAACAGTAATATATGAATATGCTTTACAATTTATAAGAATTTCGCATTCATGTGTAAGAGACCAATGGGAATTGAAGAGAATAGCACTACAGTCAACTATCGATACTATGGTGTTATCGATAGTTAACTATAATGACATCGATACAGAAAGAGAGTGTCTTGAATAATTTTAGAAAAGGTAAAGAGAACTGTCTTTGCTTAGATATTAGAATAAGATCAAATGAAGCCATTCACAGTAATACTCAATATTGTTCTAGCTCAAAGAAATATGATAGAACCAAATTAGATAGCCTGAAAACTAACTGTTTAGCTCATTTGATGAGAAATTCATTTGATGAGAAATAATTGCAATTGCATTATTATATAAGCCGAGATCAAATTAGTTTTGCAATGCAGTAAATGTAATTTTTTTAAGATCTTGAGATATGTCCATAATAAACACATAAAACTTTACTCTATTTGTTGTTTATATTTAGTTTTTTATTTACATTTTAGGGAAAATCTAATTCAGATTAGGCAAGTGAATCACACAGCAAAGGCCAAAACGAAACGAAGCTAAAGTGGGAATACCGAAGCTTAAATACCCTACAAAAAACCATCAGACACACATTACGATTCGACTTCATGCATATTTCGGGAAGTTTGATGATGATGATTTGTCATTAATATATGTATATGCTAATTAATTATTAAGCCAAGTCTGTTTTCTATTGGTAGCCGCAACAACTTTATAATGCTCTAGCAATAGAAGAGCATATGCAAAGCTAATCAGGCGCGCACAAAATTCCATGACAACTCACACAATCACAATCACAACAACAGCAACAACAACAACAACAACAACTTGTGATCATTGCTGTGCGCTGAGTCATCAGCGCAGGTGACGCAGTGCCGAGCAGATGAATTTTTGTTTTGGTGCAAGCATTTGAGGCTGTGGAGGCTGTGGCCAGAGGATGGCAGGAGGCGGCGGCGAGGCGGCGAGGGGAAGGTGGATAAGAGCGTGCCAGTGTCTGTCACAGCAGCAGCAGCAGCAGCCAAGAAGCGTTCCCATTGCATGACTCATGCCCCCAAGATGTCTGCTGCTGCCGTTAACTGTTCATTTCAGCCAGGCATCATCGAACAGCTGCCGCTGCTGCTGCTGCTGCTGCTGGTGAATTGCCAAAGAAGTCGATGCGGTTAGACGCTTTCGACCTTATGACATAATCGCGCTGGCAGCTGGAAAGGGTCGCCCAAGGCCGCGCCGCAGCGCGCCGTTGCATGCGGGCTGATGCTGGCCAAACTGGAGACCAAAGTCAAAACCAAGGCTGTGCCTAACCCTAACATAGGCCAGCCCCGCGCCCAAAAAATAATAATAAAAAAAGCAAAAATAAAAATAATAATTATAGCAAAACAAACAGCGTTCAGCGTTTGTTCGTCATGTAATTTAACGCTCTGAACTTTAACGCTTCGTTAAGTTTCACGCATGCAGATTTCAAATGTGCTGGTGACCAAGTGTATGTGTGTGTGTGTGTGTGTGTGTGTGCGTATCTAAGCGCCCCAATTCTGTCAATCAACTGCGTTTTGTGGGTGCCAAGCGTTTTGTTTGGATAATGTTAACCACAAAAGGCCAAAGTCAAAGTATTATTAACAACAACAACAACAACAGCAGCAAGAGCAACAACAACTGAAGGGAAAGGAAAGGCCTGCATAGCGAGTGCATCAAATTGCAGTCGAGTGTCCAAGAGCCAAGGCTGACTGCAACAAAAGCAGCCAACGAAATTGAGTTCAAGCGGATTTTCAACTCTTGGGCAAATAAATTTTCGACTTTTTGGTCAGAAAGTGAATCAGCGCTTGCAGATGACAGCGGGCGGGCAAGAGCGAGAGAGAGGGAGAGAGAGAGAGTGGAACAACGCTATTCAAAACAGTCATCAAAAATATGATTAAACTGGTTTTAGTTGTTGTTGTTGTTGTTGTTGTTTTTGGGGCTCAGCCACCCCCATAGGCGGACCAAGGCAAGAACTGAAGCTGGAACTGGAACTGGAACTGGAACTGGAGCTGGAACTGGAGCTGGCGATGCAACCACGACGGGTCAAGAGTGCAACGTGTGTTGGCTTCGGTTTCATTGTTGCAATTATGCTAATTTTGTGCGCGAGGCCTGGGAAACATGAAACAGGCAACAAGCAAAAACACACGAAAGCAAAACAAAATAAAGCGGAAAAATGGAGAAAAGTGGAAATGAAATGTTTTTCACACATGAATGCGAATGCCGGAGCCAGAGACGGAGTCCGAGACGGAGCTGAAGCCCGAGGGTAGCCAGCAATAGACATTGAAAGCAATTTCTCTCTCTCTCTCTCGCTCTCTACTTCTTCTGCTTTGATGGAAACATGTTTGCTGCAGTTGTTGTTGTTGCGGAAAATGTGGGAAATTCATGGAAGCAATTTTTCGTTGTTAAAAGACTTTAAAATGCGCCAGCGCAAGCAGCGCAGCTCACAATGAAATACAATGCGCGATTTACAGAATGAAGAGGAAGACGCTGGCGCAGCAGCGGCAGTGGCCGAAGAAGAAGAAGAAGTGGAAGCCGCTGTAGTATATAGAAAAGAAAATGCAGCTAATGCAGTCGCATGACCATGCCCCTAACCCGCCTCCAAAACGCCGACTTTGTTGTCGCTGCTCGTTAATTGCCCTGGCCATTGGCCCCGGCCCAAGAAAGGTTCTCACGTCTCGACGGCTCGACGTCTGGACGACTTAGTTGAGCCATTAGCGCGCGCTCGCTTTGGCTTCAGCCGAGCCCTTTAGCCACCCAGGCTTGATAAGTGGCCCAAGCGAAGCCGACTGCAGCCGACCCAAGCCAGGTCTTCGTGGCATCAGGAGCGCAAATCCAACCCTGGGTCACATCGAATCCTCGCCAGACCCACTCACATTGTGTAGGGCAGCATATTGGTTGGAATTGCCCACTTGGGGCGTGGCAATGTGGTGCCAGAAGCCTTCGGGCATAGCCTAATCAGGTACAGTTGACTCCGATTTAACTAGAAACTGAATATATAGAATAATTATCTCATTCAAATGAATCTCATTCTTGAATGTAGGAATAACTCCAGAGATACGCCCTCTGTGGGCGTGTTCAATCGCACTTACAGAGCTGATATCACCCCATCTACTCATTTAGTACAAATCCCAATAAAAGCCTTGCCAAATGAATTGACTCACATTCGATAAGTGAGCGAGTATTGTGCAGTCGAACAGCGCCTTTCACGCTTCTCACACTCTTATCTATGAGGTTTGCTTCCACAAACAGCTGCACTTGGCACTACTGGCCCGAACATGAAGAAATGAGTAAATATCTATATAGATATACACATATATATATAGATATGTACAAAGAGTAGACGTATAAATAGTGTGCATATTGGAAAAATCAATGCAAATAATTAATGCATACAATAGTAGAGGTAATATAATAATAAAATGAAAAAGGAAAAACTACAAAAGAAAACAGTAACCATAAATAAATATGAAAACACGACAGCAGCAGGCACGCAAGCCCAAAGTCCACGTCCGTGCGGAGAGCAGAGCCTGTCTAGCAGCTGGCTGGCTGCAAGCCACGTCTAACTGACTCATTGACTGCCTGACTGCCTGACTGACTGGCTGACTGGCTGAGTTGCCTTGGCCAAGTGAAAGAAAGAGTTGAGATTTAGGAGCTGCCTTTCTACTTAAGCCCGACTGTTCGCTTGGTCGTGCGTTGCATGCGATCAAAGTGGCCAGTGGCAGTGGCTGGGGCTGGGGCAGGGGCAGATAGCGACAATCGCAATGCACCATTATAATTATTAAATGCTGCCATTTATGGCTTATCGATAATTGATCGATAATTGGCATAATTCATGTCTGCGCAAATTAGCATTCAATTGGTATTTCATATTTGAGGCATGCTAACAAAAATGCAACGATGCGGTTGTTATCGATAAATTATCGATCATATTCAGCGGGTGTTAAATGAATTGGTGAGCTAGTATTTGCAGCTGTGACGACTACTGAAACTCACAATTACAATTACTAAATCGATTGTTATCGATTATTTATCGATAATCGGCATTGATCGCAGTGCTATTTTCACTGATAGTTGATCAAGTGATCTATAGTGTTTATCTTAAATACACTGGCATAAATAGTTAAGTCAACGTTATCGATAACTTATCGATATCGATAATCGGCATAATATATGTCCGCATATTGGCATTTCGTCTTAGCATTCTCAAATCACATGTTCATAGATTTGTGTGATTGCGTGAGACATTTGTTATCGATTATTTTTCTTTTAAATGAATCATACAATATAAGTAAATAAATATATTTACAAATAAATATTCAGTCTTAAAGATTGCTGTACGAGTGGATAACTTTCATTGAACTGTTAGCGATAAGAATTGGCATTCTGAATAGCTATCGATATTTTATCGACCACCAGCCTGTTCCATCCCGGAACAGCCGGCATAACCTTGGCGTATGAATCAAGCGGTCGTAGAACTCGCACTGCAACTTTTGTTTCGTTGTAATTTTATATGCATATGTTTCAATGCTCACTACGGCCATCATGTGCCACGCCCCGTCCGAGCATATTAATTGTTTATTAATTATTTACGTTTTTTTTTATGTGCTTTTTACTTTATTTTTTTTTTTACAGCTGGGAAGGGTCAACGCCAAAAGACACTGGCCAATATCATGGTCAACGGATGAGACTGACAATGACAATGACAATGCTGATAATAATGATAATGACAATGATGATTTTAGGAGTTGTACAGCTTTGGAAATGGGTCAAGCGAGCAGCTGGACTAAACCAGATGAGAAGATTTGGTGGCATCGATGTGAGTGAACTCAGACTTGGTGCTGCCTGCCTGCCACACATGAGCCGCTGGCTAATCACGGCCAGCCAACGAATTCTAGCCGGGCCCACAGCTTGCCACAAAGCGCTGCCACTCACAATTGCCGCCTGGCATTGGACTCGATACGCGCAGACGCAAGGGCGAGCACTGTGTGTGTGTGTGTGTGTAGCTAAGGGAGCTGCCGCTTGGCTGTTGCATTTAATGCACATCACGTAGCATCCACATGCGTGCTGCGCTATGAAACCAATCAATGCAACAACAGCAGCGGATGCAGGCGGCGTGGGGGTGTTGTTGGTTCACTTGGCGTGACGCCGCCGTTGTTATGCTGTTCCAGCAGCAGCAGCAGCAGCAGCAGAAGCAGGAGTCGGGGCAGCAACAACAGAATGAGGCAAAATCATGCGTAAAGATTTTTCTACATATGCTTGTTCTCTGAATGAGTTGAGTTGGTGTATATGCATGTGTATGCATGTGCATGTGTGTGCGTGTGTGTGTGTGCGTGCTATTTCCGTTCTGGAAGCAGCCACAGCACCACACAACAGGCACGATCACTGCCAACTGGCAAATGGGTCAATCGATGGCGTGGGCCAGCCAGCTCTATGGACAACAATGAGCCGAGAAGTGTGTTCATTGATTTTGTTTAGCTGTAATTTGATATATGTATGTATGCACATATGTGCCACGCCCCGACCGAGCATATTAATTGCCTTAGCAATTATTTAAATTTATATCTACATAAATATATAGTTTTTTTTTATATGTGTATTTTCTGAGGGACTGGGAAGGGTCAACACTGGTCAATATCATGGCCAACAACGATAATGTTCATGATGATGATGATGATGATGATGATGTCGGGAGTCGACAGTCTTATCGATCTTATCTTAGCACTCAAAGTGGCAATCGATTTGCTTTATTCAATCAAGAAAATCGAAAGATCGATTATGAATCACAATGATAGATAATACATAACCTAGTCTATAGAGTATCGTAGTATATAGTGTATATGGCATATAAATTATACAATTTTCTATAGTTTTAATGCTAAGGCGAGACTAGTTCAAGCGAAATCGGCTGACTAAAGCCATGGCTAAGTAGTTAATCAATAACTAAGCGAATATCACAAACTTATTTCGAATTCTTCTCTATTCATTCCACACTAAGTATCTACTTTTTTTTTAAATTTCAAATTCAATTAAATTAATTATATATAAAAATGCTTATAAACTCTTCGCAGCACTGATTAAACTTAGTTATTTGATTTATGTTTGATTTATTATCTTTGTATTGAGTTCCATAGAATTGCCAAGGAGAAAATTGACTCAATTCGATGCGATTCATCAATTGTAAGAGCTTGTGCCTATTGCTGCTGTTTAATCGAGCAGCTCATTGATCATTGATCATTCATTGATCATTCATTGATGATCATTCATCGATCATTTTTCATTCACAAACATATGAAACTATATACTATATGCATGCATATGTGTGTGTGTGTGTGTATTTCTATGTAATTGCAATTGCAATTGCAGTTTCAATTGTGTTTATAATTCATTCACACACAGACACACATACAGTTGTAGCAAATCAACAACAGTTTTGTTGTCTTCCACTCCTTCTAGCTATGTGTGTGTGTATGTGTGTGTATGTGCTCCCATGTTCCCGTTTGCGCTTCCCATTCGGCCACTGCCACTGCCACTGCCACACCGTCGCTCCCTCACCCCTCGCTCAGTCGCTCTCTTTCTCCCTCCCACTCCCATATATACATACATACATACATACATACATATGTATGTATGTATACACCTCTTCTCTTCTGTGGCTTGGCTCGCCTCAGACTTCTCGTATTCCATGTTCCATGCTCATTCATGCGCACGATCATTTCATTCATATGCACAATTTAAGCGACGCATACACACACACACACACACACACACACACACGCATAAAGTTGGCATTTTGTAGTAAAAAAATTTGTATTCGCGCAGCACGAATTAATGTTTATTTATTCTTGGCTCGCTTTTCTTTGCATCTCTTTGTTGCCCTCCCCTCTTTCTTTTTCTCCTCCTCCTCCTCCTCCCCCTCCTGCTCCTCTTCTGCTGCGTTTGTCGTCGCCATTTTTTCAATTAAATTTCAATTTAAGTTTCTTCCTGAGCCACCCTCGCCACCAATTGGCCGCCTCCTCCCTCCTATCGCTCTCCCTCTCTCTCTCTCTCTCTCTTTCTCCCTCTGCCCTCCGCTCTTCGATTTCGATATGCGTCTTGTTGATCTTATCGCTGCCAAGAGCCAAGCAAAATAACAAACAACAAACTTCTTAAGCATTTCTGTTGTCATTCCTCTTCTTCTGCTTCTGCCACTTCTGCTGCTTCTTCCTCTTCTTCTTCTTCTCGTTCTCTTGCTGCTTCTTTGAAGTAATTAAAATTCATTCAAATATTCGTTTAACGCATATTTTCCTGCTCGCTTCATCCATTGCTCCTCTCAGTCGCCGTCCGATCTGAGGGAGGCTGACTGAGGTGGGGTGAAGGGGGGTGAAGGGGGGTTTCGACTCTCCAATCCCAGCCCATGGCTGCCTTTTGCAACATTTTGCGGTGCATTTCACACAGCCAAGAAAATGTTTTATACAACATTGTTACATATTAGCCACGTTGCACGTTGCAGGTGGAGGGAGGGGGGATGCCTTGGGCAAAGGGCAACGAGGTGGGGCGAGCGCAGTGTGGGAGCTAGGGAACTGCCTGATTGGCTGACTGCTTAGTTAGGGCAAGCTGACGGCACCGCTGGGGCCCCAGACAAAGCGCAATACTAAATAGACAATGGAATGCTGTGGCCCAAAATGGAGTTGGCCAACAGCAGCGGCAGCAACAATTGGCAACACTTTTGCTTTAGCCGTGGCGCTCACCGCTTGCAATTGTGTTTGCGGTTGCGACTTTCGCAGCAATGTCCGCATTTTTTCATCATCATCATCATCATCATCTTTGTTGCTGCTGCTGCTGCTTCTTCTTCTTCTGCTTGTGGCATCCATCCGCTTGTGGTTAGCCGGCTGCTGTCGCCGTTGCAGGGCTCTCGCTGTGACGCCTCTAACAAAAAGAAAACTCAAATACAAAATTAAAAAAAAAAACA